TTTTTGGTTTTTCTCTGGTACCGGGAACCGAACTCACGACCTTGCGCTTGCCAGGCAGGCGCTTTGCCGCTGAGCTAAATCCCCAGCCCCTAGCATTTACTGTTTTTAACCACACCTTGTAAAGACACTCATGAAAGAGGACTTCCAGAAGTGCTTCACAAAATGGCAAGATATGGGAGTATGTTCAAAAGTAGGGGAAGTATTTTGAAGGGAATCAATGGCAGTATGTTTTTTTAAAAATTTGTTGAATTTAAACATTCACTGCATATTTTGATTGCCTTTTGTATTTGGGTCATAATTGTTTTTAAAATATATCTTTTAATTTGCTTTAGACACAAGCAGCATCTCAAGGACATTCAGAACAGTTAGGAGAGAGTAATAATGCTTCAATGAGAAGTCAGATGGAGCTCAGAATTAAAGACCTGGAGTCGGAGCTCTCTAAAATGAAAACTCAAGAAGATTCCAATGAAATACAACTGGAAAAATATAAGCAACTCTATATAGAAGAATTCAAAACTAGAAAATCATTGTCCAGTAAGCTAAACAAGTAAGTCAAAACAGAATCATAGAAAATAAACCTAGCTCATTAATTTTCCTCTAAAGCATAATTTTTGGAGTATGAAATTAGTAGGATATGAATGCTAACTAGACATTTTGTAAAATAAAGTTACTAAATGAACTTATCTTTGAAATGTTAGTCCAGGGCAGTTTATATTTCTTCATCCCTTTTATTGGGTTTTGGCTTTTTGAGACAAGGTGTTACTTTGTAGCACAGGCTCCCTTGAACTCACTATATAGCCCATGTTGGCCTTGAACTCACAGCAATCCTTCTGCCTCAGCCTCCCAAGTGCTGGGATTACAGGTGTGTGCTACCATGCCTAGCTTGATTTTAGTATTCTTATGTAGGTAATCTGATTTGGTCATTCAGATATTTTTGAAGCTTTATCATTAAGAAAGTTATATCGTTATAACGTTACACATTGCCATTCATTTAAATAGAATTATTAACCTTATTTTTGGAAGATTACAACATAAAGTACTACTAATACTGGACACACTCTGCCACTTGGTAAAATAGCTTTCCTTGACTATGTCTTTGGTGTTATCACTAGACGCTGCCTAGAAACCAACTATCCTGCATATTATTTCCATTTTACATAAAGACATACTTGTGATATAGGGTAACATTAACAGGGATGAGCAGAAGTACAGTCCACTTGTGTGCATTAGTGTGAGGGCTGGGTAGAAGACAGAAGAGGCAGGTTCCCATGCTTTGGGAAGGGGGTTCCCAGCCCAGGAGCTGCTCTGGTTCTTCGTGATTATGAGCCAGCAGTCTCCTCCCCTGGAGATGGTTGCTGTAAATTACTTTCTCATTGCCAGGTAATGGGCAGATGTACAGGTGGGAAAGCTACCACTTGAAAATATCTTTGAGAAATCTTTTTTTAAACCCCTGTTTAGCTAAATACAAGCATTTCTAACTTTTGTTTCAGTTTTATTTTTCACTCACATATATGTAAGGAAACATAATGTTTTCATGTGTCTGTTTGAACATTGTACAGACACATACATATATATGTACCTTTTTTTCCGTACTGGGGATTGAACCCAGTCCTTTTTTTGTTTGAGACAGTCTCACTAAGTTGCACAGGCTTGGCTCCAACTTGTGATCCTCTTGTGTCAGCTTCCTACAGTGCTGGGATTATAGATGTACGTATGTATACAAAGTGAAATGGCTACGATAGTGAGGCTAATTAGCCTATCCATTATCTCTTATACTTACCCTTTAAATACAAGTGTTTCTAGTGGCTTCCTCAGGACTCTTATAGGTAGACTCTTACAGGAAGTAGCAGTGTTTACTGTTAAGCCAGATACCATTGACAACCACTTCTCTCTCTCCTGCTTTGTTAGAAGTACTTGTTAGTTAGGAATCCCCCTACAAATACATGTACTTCTTTAGAACAATTTTAGTTGCAGTATGATAGGCTCTGATACATTTTCAGTGTTGAGGCACTGAACACTGAATGGAAATTCCATTTGCTCTTATGGCAGTTTCTTTAAATGAAGTCATTTAGGAGGCATTTAGGGGCTGGGCGTGGTGGCACATAGCTACAATCCTAGCACTTGGAGGCTGCAGCAGGAGGATCACTGTGAGTTCAAGGCTACCCTGAGCTATATAGGGAGACCTTGTCTCCAAAAAAAAAAGGGGGGAGTCGGGGAAAAATGAGATACTAAGTATTTGCCTTTTACAATCTTCACAGGGCTAATGAGAGGCTAGAAGAGGCCAATACCAAACTTCTGGTGGAGAAACAGCAAAGCAGATCTTTGCTGAGCACTGTTAGTACAAGACCTGTCCTAGAGTGTCCTTGTGTCGGAAATCTTCATCATAGTTTGGCGCTACACAGAAGTTTTCCTCCCAGAGAAAACTTAGTGGTTCATACGTTAAACCCACAGCCTTCGAACAACAGCATGGAGAGCTACCTCACCAAGGTTAGTGACAGGACCATCTTTTCTTTGTGTTGGAGATTTCTGATTTAATTCTTGTTGTTAATTTGGTGAAATACTGGGCAGGGAAGTAGCTCTTGGTAGAGCACTGGGCTGGGGTACACAAGGCCCTGAGTTTGACCCCCAGGGGAGGGGTTAATCTGATGAAATACTGTGTTTAGTTGACTTACACATGTTAAGTAAAGATCACACTAATATGTGTTAATATAAAGAAACAGAATTTATAATTTTTTAAACAGTTCCCCTAGCTTTCATTTTCAAGAGATATTCATTAACTTTATTCAATGAATGTAACTGAATTAGATGTAGTACATTTTTAACTTCTCAGAATTGTGATAAGTGCATAAGTTCACTGGTATGTGTGGACACACGTAATACAGTGTCTAGAGTTAGCACACTTGAAATCAAGGAAGGAGAAAGCATGGCTGTTAGGGCTACGTTCTCATCTTTCCTGTCGGGACTGCAGAGAGGTAGCAGAAAACAACCTCCTCCTCCATGTGTGCTCAGAACGTAGGTCAGAGAGGTCGAGATCCATGTCACAGCTTTGTTGCTGACACATAACTCACAGGGGGGAAGTGGGCATCCAACTGCCTCGTCGGAGATTGCACACTTAAGCACACACTTAGTGGAAGAATCGAGCACCTGCCATCTGTCCCAGCAGCAGCTGCTCACTGCAGAGGCAGCAGCCTCATTTCACGCTGCCAGGACATCCCTGTAAGGAGCCAGCATGCTTCGGCCCCCATCGCCTTTGGGAGCCACCTCTCCGCAAAGGGAGGCAGAGAGAGCCGAAGTCCGGGTGGTGCTTCTGCTGTCGCTTCTGCCAGGGTGTAAACTAAAATGTAAATTAAACTGGTCTTTGTATATCTCAAGTCAAAGTCATGAGAAGTGGCCACATCTATGCTGGATGGTAGAGAGAGATCTGATTTGTATTTTTAATTTTGCTATGAATTACCCAAAACATTCATAATTCATTCATTGAATGATTTGAGTAAACTAAGTTTTATGATTTTCTCTTTCAAATTCCATTCTGTGATTTTTAATTGAGCTTTAAAATTGACTGTATTTAATGGCTACTAACAATTCATTTTTATTTGTTTTCTTTATTTATATTCATAACTTTAGAACTCAGTTCATTAGAGAGCTACTCTTAATGTCTCATGTTGAACATTATTGAGTTCCATGACAGTTTTACATGTATATTTTTCCTAAGATGATTTAAAAACATACAGTCTTTCCTGAAAAAAAGAGAAGTAACTGTATAAAGCTCCATGCTCTGGGAGATGACTGCAAGCCCCATTCCTGCCTGACCCATGGGCTCTGTGACTTCAGCCAAGTTATGATCTCTCTGAGCCTGGGGTAGATCATGGGTCAAATTAGAGACTTTGTGACTCTCACTACTTTCTTTTTTTTTTTTTTTTTTTTAGCTTTTTTCCGGTACTGGGAATTGAACTCATGACCTTGCGCTTGCCAGGCAGGCGCTGTGCCACTGAGCTAAGTCCCCAGCCCGACTCACTACTTTCAAAAAACACTTTTTAAATAGTAAAACTTTTTAAAAGAAGAAAACTCTTCCATGAAACTATATTCTGTGAAGCAGAAGTAGGGCTGTCTGGGTGAAGAAGGGGTGAGGCTCTAATGTGAGACTTGTCATCCGATCACCCCACAGTGTCCTGGGTGGAACCTTAGATTCTGCAGACATAGCTTGCAAGCCACAGCTGTGAGGGAATTCTAATAAGCTAAAATCCATGGTACGTTGCTCTGCTGTGCAGTTTTGTCATCTTATGTTCTTGGAAATGGAGTAGTATACAAAAGAAGTTGCAGACGTGCTTCCCTCATGAAGGCTGGCCTCACTTCCTCCAGCCTCTGAAGCACAGTCCCCACTGAGAATAAACATCAAGCTACAGGGAGAGGAGGGTGTTTTCTTAAATATATGCGTTTTACTACACGAAGAGTTAATTCACCTCTTGATTTAGTAGTAAGCATAAAGTAAAAATGGGCAATTTAGCAGGCTTTTTTATTTCTCCTGGCAACATTCAGTTTCTGCTAAGCTCTTGCTCTGTCCATGTCCGAGCCTGTGGTGGTGCCCGTGCAGCAGAGTAAGGCAGCGATTAGTGTCAGCAGGGCGTCTTCCTCCCTGTTCTTCCCGTGACCTGTGCTGGGCACTGGAGTCAGCCATTCCACCGGGAGCAAGAATTCTGAATTTATATGAAGGGATACATAAGGAAGCTATGTAACTTAATGGGAAAGTGGCAATTAAATAAAAGGGACTTTTAAAAACTTACTAAATATTTGTCAATTTTCACTTAGGAGCCCAAACCACCCCAACCTCCCACCACCCAAGATGGAGCTCGAGCCGTGAGTCTAAAAGCTCATGGCGTTTATTGGTTTCAGTGAGGGAGGTGGGTAGGGGTCCCAGCAGAGTGCTAGGGAAGAGAAACTTCGCAGGCATTGGCTCTAAGGAGAAACAGCAATTTTGTACCAGGCACAGGGGCCTCCAGTTGGCAATACAAGGGATAGTTTGATGTATGCAAGGCTGGCACCTTTACTGCTAGGAAGGTGAAATTCTTTTTGAGTCCCATGGCCTCAGCTGAGATGTTTTGTTGTTTATTTTTTGTTTTT